ATTACCGGCAAAATTGGTGGTAAATAGCCAACAAAATTAAGGGTAAATTGCCCCCAACATTTCTCCCAAATTACTCCCAGTTTGCAAAATTTCCTCCTAATATTTCCAACGACACACACGCAATTTCCCCTTAGTTTGCTCACAATTTACTGCCAGTTTCGGGGTGAACGTTCCGCAAGATTAGGGTAAATGTTGCCGAGTCGGTAAGCCTGTGCAGCCCCTCGTAAAGAAGGCATGCAATTTATTGATAGAGGCAAGCCCTAACACGTACGGACCCACCATCCACCCATCCACCCGCCCCGCATCCCTTCCATCCATCGTCATCCATCCATCCCTCCCTCTCTCCCTCTTACCTATCGCGTCGGCGGACATGCAACGCCCCTAAACCCTAAGCCTATAGTGTACAGTGGGTACACTGCAGTTACATTGATACAGAGCCTCGCTGACATGCCTGCTGCTCATCACAGAAAGATTGCAACAAGCGGTAGGTTTCAACATATCTCAAATTTCGATCATCATGAAAACCAAATGGATTGAGTTTCAGAATATCTCAAAAATCAAACATCATGGAGACCGAATGGATTGAGTTTCAAGATACCTCAAAGATCAGACATCATGAAGACCAAATGGATTGAGTTTCAAGATATCTCAAAATTCAAACATCATGAAACCAAACGGGTTGAGTTTCAAGATATCCCAAAAATCAAGCATCATGAAAGCCAAATGGGTCTGAGTTTCAAGATATCTCAAGATTCAATCATCATGACAACCACATGGATTGAGTCAAGATACCTCAGAATTCAAACATCATGAAAACCAAATGGATTGAGTTTCAAGATAGCTCAAAATCCAAACATCATGAAAACCGAATGGATTGTTAAGATATCCCAAAATTCAATCATGAAAGCCAAATGGAATTGAACTTCAACATATCGCAAAATTCAAGCATCCATGAAAACCAGGTGGGTTGACTTTCAAGATATCTCAAAACCAATCATCTTGGAAAATAGATGGATTGAACATGAATCCGAAGGCGTCCCCAAAGGTGGAAGTGCTGAACAACCTAAAGCCACAACGTGACACGTTGAACACGCCGCTTCTTACAGCGGAAAGCACTTCACGCAGCGCTTGTGAGATAACCACTTTGCAGTGGACAGCACGTCACACAGTGCTGATGCTCAGGGCCAAACTGATCTCCCGAGTCACGATGAAGTTGAGGTTGCTCATGAAGAAGTTGCAGAGCAGTCAGCAGGTCGCATTGAGAAAAGCACCTTTAAACCTGTCGGGCACACTGCATTTAATCTGATGCCCTGCCCGCCCTACCCCGCCCCACGCACAAGAATTTCAGCGTGGCCAGGTCCACAACTCTAAGTCTCAACTTGACGTGGCAAAAAACAGGGCCACCTGAAGAGTTTTTAAGTCACTTTTATCATTGCAGAAAGACCTTTTACAACAACAAAGGTTTCCCCGTAAGAAACATGAACGTAGTTGCTGCAGACAGCGGGTCTCTCTACAAGGTGTTTGCACACCATTTTCAAACAGAAGCCTTCTGAAGATCCTATAGACGACCTCCTGTTCCTCGCAAGGTTTCTTTGAAAGAAGTTACGCCGATGATCCTGGTGGAAGGATCTTTGCAGGATCTGTGGGTCGGGTCTCTTGCTAAGATCTTTTGGCCGGATCTTGTGCGCAGGACGTCTGAGAGAACCCTGCGCAAGCTCTCTTTTCAGCATCTGTGGTAAGCATCCTCCACAAGAGTCTCTACATGAGACCTTGGAGGGACCTGTGGAGGATCTGTGCAGGGTCTCCGTTGGACCCGTCTTCCATCAGCGCAGACGCATGTCCGCGCGCGGTGTGTAAGGCCAACTAACCACGTGATGCGCAGCATATATCCGCGATAAAGGCTTCAAGCCGGCCTGCGTGAAAATAGCGCTGATCGCGCAGGCTTTCAACGAGCTACTACGCGGTCAAGCGTGGTGGCTTTGGCAAGTGGCCCTCATTTGCCAGCGGGGTTCAGGACTTGGCTGGCGCAGACGCAGCAGTGGAAAATCGCGGTTGCCGGATTTGAGCAGATGTACGATCAACCTTTGCAGGCGCTTAGACAAACAGACAGACGCATCAAAAGACTGCGCGTGACTTTGGCGTCAGGAAGCGCAGGAGCTGCGTGGAAACAAGCTTCGCTGGACCCCTCAAGACGCAAGTGCAGGACCGCGGTTGGATTGCGCAGTATGATCCCTGCACGCGCAGTGGAGTTCGTCTCTCAGATGGACCCGCGCCCGCAACGCAGGTCGACCAGATCAAGGGCAAGGGCAAAGGAAAGAAAGGCAAGCACCAACAGCACGACCGTTTTCAGCACAACCAAAACCCCTTAATGGGAAAGGAGGTGATGGCAAAAGCGGCGAGGGTAAAGGTCAGCTTCAGGTCATCGGAAAACCCGGCCACTGGGAGCACGAGTGTCCACTCATGATGACGCCCGCGTCTTCAACTTCAGGAACCACCAACAAGCAGTCTTCAACCGCAACTCCTTCGGTCAAGTTGGCTCAGATGATCACGCGTGTTCACAGGTTTGGTGTTTCGGAGGATGATTATTTTCCTTTTGAGCAGGTAGCATGTTCTGTCAATGCGATTTCATGCGCAAACGTGCTTGAAGTGCTTCGGCTGGAAGCCATGGATTCGGATGATGGTATTCACCTGGCAGATGGTATTGAGTGCTTTGATTTGTTTGCAGTACGCTCATGATTTGCTTGGTCTTGCAGATGTCCTGACTTCCAATGGTACAATGGAATGTCCAAAGACGCCAGTGACAATCAGCTCGCGGATTTTCGAGATGTCTTGTGCTTGAGGGAGAACCATGCCATGGACACCCATGCAACTGGCTGGTTTTCACCACAGAGTACGCAAGCAACCTCCCGCATAGAAATCCAGTGTGTCTGCATCACTGGATTTCCCCGAATGTGTCTGTCACCACTTCCAAGATGATCGGCCGTCGCGGGTAACTTAATTTTTCACCGAGGATGGTGTGGCTGAACTTGGGCTGAGGTGTTCCATGCAAATAGGCCACAACATGCTGAAGCGCCTTCCTCGATGTGCGTATTGCAAGTCTGCCCTCTCACGCCCCAAACCTGGTCTGAAACGAAATGCCTCTAACGCAGAGAGTTCTACCCAGTGTCACTAACTCTCCGCCTGGCACGTGTTGGGGAAATTTATAAGAACGCGCTTCTCCTTCGCCATACTCAATGAAGGGACCACTCGATTGCAGCGGCGCTGGGAGGCCACCTTGCGGCACTTCAGCTGTTGAGACAGGAAAGAAACATAAACCGCCGTCAGATGTGAGCGCGAAACAAAGCGCGCCTCGAACACAGCCCCAAAGCCAAACTAGGAGGCGCGCGCGGGGCGACGTTGAACCGGCGTGTGTCACATGGAGGGCGCGAGTCATGCCAGGGACAAATTTAAAAAACAAAAACAGATGCAGACTGGGCTGAAACCGCACGTGCACGCAGAAACATGAGCGTGGGACTTATCCACTTGCACGTTGCCCTTTCTTCAGCAGAGTCGGAACTTGTTGCCTTGTGAGAGGGCTTTCGGAAGGTGGGTTCGCTCGTAGCTCTCGCCATGGCCACGCGCAGTGGCCGTGGAAGGGTGCGTCGCCTTTGCGCTGGCGTGTTTTGGGTGCGGCAGATGGTTCGGGCATCCTTCGTGGGCCGAACCCCGCCAATGAGGGCAAAAAGTGCTTGTAGAGGCAAGGCGCCGAGGCTTGCTGCGCTTGATGGCAACGCTGAGCCAATCGGTCACAATGAGCACAAAGTCCTGGAGAACAGGATGCAGGCAAAAGGGCGCAGTCAAGGTGCAACGGATTCGCCCTGAGCAGTTTGCGCAGACCATCATTAGCCTTATTCTGGCTTGGGTGAAGGTGCTATGAAGCGACGGACACGTGATTTCTTCAGGCGGAGCCTTGAGCCATGACAGGATGAATCACAGCTTCTTCCTCCATGCGTCATTCGCATCTTGCGCGCAGATCCGACTTTCTCTGTCCAGGAGCTACAAGATCTCCTGCAAGAGCATCTTTGCAGGTCCTCTGCTTAGACGTTTGCATTTTGCCCTGCGCCGCAAGGGAATACAAAAGTTTGCAAAAGTTCGCTCAGATCCGCCCCGCGCCCGCAGCCCAAAGTCTGCAGAGATTCAAAACACCCAGAGTTTGCAGGGGCTTCACCAATCAACCGTTCTCGGAATTCGCGCGGCACCACAGCGAGCACACCCTCGCAAAGCACCAAGACCTTGCGCGAGCCTGCGCAGTCGAAATGCACATGAACATCTTGCAAGGGAACTTTTGGGACAAGCCTGGGCAGCCGAAAAGCGCCGCACAACCTCAACACCCTGACGCCCCCTTTACCCTTACCATAAGAACCCTTTAGTGTAGAGACACTGTTTGCGGAGGTGCCTGAACCGCCTCAGTGCCACAAGCACACTGCGCTGGGCCACCCGGCCTTCCAGCGCAGGAGGATGTTGAACTTTGACGCAAAACAGCACGCAAATCCAGCAAACAAGGCAAGCATCCTTTGCCACAACTCACACTTGCAGTTCAAGTCTGGACTTGGGCACGCGCTTAGCCTGTTGCAGGGGTTTTGGGGCCTGCGATGTTTGAATTCGCGAAAGGTCTGCGACCAGCAATTTGCCAAGCGCCCAACCACAAGGCTGGGCGTCACTTCTGCTTCGAGCCACGCGTCTGCTCCTACGCCAGCCAGAATCTGTGGGCGCACGCTTGAGATGCAATCAGTCGCAGCGGGCGGCCTGCAGCTCTGGCATGAATTAAGTACCACAGATCCGCGGATCGCAAGGCCTGGATACCCTTTGCAAAAAAAAAGGCCGCTGGGAAAACCAATTTGGTTCCCACAGCTCGAAAGATCATGCACGGGATCTTGCTTGGACACCGTGAAGTTTGTCCAAACTGAGCAAGGCTTGAAGGACTCCAGGCATCCGACATCAGTTTATCCGCTGACTATCAATTACGCCACCCTGACTGGCTTGCAGCCAGAAGCTGGCATACCTGCCCACACCTGTGCGAGGCCGGCGATGCGTCGTATTCGTTCGTGCACACGTGCCACACAAGCCCCATCCCTCCTCTCTGGCTGGAACTGTCTCACCCTTCAGCACCTGCACATAACCATCAGCAAATCGTTTGCAGCAAGCATGAAAAAAAGCACAAGCTGCCTGGGTGTGCTCCATGAGGACAGCCTGGCAAGGCTCCGAGTGAGGCAAAGTGAAGTCGAGCAACTCGCAAACTGGCAGGGGAAAAACAGTGGCGCGCATTCTGCGTAGACCTGCGCGTCCAACTGTCCTTGAATATTGAAACTTCTGGTTGACAAGTTTACTCCCAGCTGTCTCACAGCTCTGCTCTGCTCCGTGGCAACTCAGGCAACATGAATGCTGTGAATGATCAAGGCGCTGCGCTAATCTCTTCAAGCCGCGCTAGGATTCTGAAAGTCATTGCAACTTGCTCGCCGGGCCTCGTCTTCAATGACTGAGCCAGGCATTGCAAAAGAGCCTGGCTGGCTAAAGCACATGTGCAGAATATGCCTTGTGACTGTCAATGCAACGCATGAGCACCACGCCCGCAAGAAATGATCCTGTCACGCTACATCACGCGCTGAGCATCACACACGCACACAATGTACGCATGTTTGCTGCGCATGCCTCAAGGGACAATCTGGCTAGGAGGTTCAGCTGCGAGATTCGCCATGGGGGCTATTCATCTTCTTGCGCCCCACGCGTGAATCTGACACCCAAAAAAACGCAAGTGTGTCTCACTTAGTGTTTGGGTTGCGCAGAAACCTCTTGCAGGCAGCAGGCAAACAGTGCATGACGTTCGTACTATGCACATCTTTCCTCGTAGTCCAGCACTCAATGATAGATCTGCGACCCAAGCAAGCACTTCGCTTCTCACAACTTGGCTGCTTGCGTAAATGCCCGTTCACCTTTAATTGCGGTCCTGCAGTTCTTCCACTTGGCTTTCAAGACATCAGTGCGGATTTCATGCGGACAGCTTTCCATATGATTAGAATCCTCTCGTGTTTGCTGTGTGACAACAATGAGTGTTGGCCTCCATCATGCGTCCTGAACCTATGCATCCAGAAGCTGGTTGAAAAGCAAAAAGCTAGGGTGACGCCCGTGCTGCTTGTGATCTGCCATCGCTTTCCCCCAGCAAACAAGTCGACGCGCCACAATCCGACTCAAAGACTCCAGACATGAGCAGCGGGGACATATTCTTCAACTTCAAACCTCTGGCTGGCTTGACTGGCTTCATCTGGCTTCGTTGCCACTGGAAGCTTTGCAGCATCGACAGAATCAGGAACCTCCACATTGTCTCTGGCGGGTTGCATTTGCCCTCTAGCAGGTGAACTGGGAAGTGTGAGAATTCGCCCTCTCAGCTCCCGGCCAGGGAGCAGCGCCGCGCCATCACCAATCCTGCTGTCTGACTCACCAGCTTCCCGCGCGGAGTCAAGCAAAATTGCAGCCCACCTCTGCCCGCCCTATTCCACTCACAGCCTGGTCGGCGCCAGCTTGACGACCATGTTCTCAACCGTGTGTCCAGTGGTGTCACACCTGGGAAAGACCCCACTTGTTCGCCGCCCCCCCCCCCCCACACCCTTCAGCGCAAATGCCAGGGCTTCAACCCTGCGATTACCTTTTTCTGAGAAGCGCACCCAGAGCCAATGGCTACATGGTCACCTGCCACAGTCTGCACGCCCCGTAATAACAGTTATGAGCCCAAGCCCACCCCCGCGCTGTCTTCGGCCAAGGGAGGGGGGCTGCCGTAAACCCTCGGAAGATGAAGGTGGAGGACATACGTCACGATGACGGAGGAGCTTTCAGTGAATGGATTGCTGCGGATAGCCACAATGGCTGGGGTGGCAAAGCATGAAGTATGTGAACCCCACAAGCAAGGCTTCCGGCTGGTGGGCAACAGATCGATTGAATGTCAAGCGGCATGCGAGCGACGTTCGAAGGTCTTGTTCAAACCTAGGTCGAAGGAGCTCTTACGCCAAGGCGCTGGCGCGAGCTTACGCGCAATACAGGTTTTCTTAGGTGTTTGCATTTATATAATCTTCCCTTGCGCGCGGCTCACGCGACAACAATTCCTTAGTCTATTTGGCTTTTTAATCGCCTGGAAGATGACCCTGGTAGGCTGCGAAGCTTTGGTGGCAGGCTTTGTTTAAGAGGTCGCACGTGGCGCGCGGAAGACTGGGTGCCCGTGATGCACGCGCGTCATCTCCGTGGGCCAAGGAGTTGAAGCACGGCATCAAGGCATGGCTGTGCTCAAGGAAAAACTTAAGAGGCGCTTGAGTAAAAAGACGACGGCTGTGAGGCTCTGAGGGGTAGCTCTGCAGTACCGAGCACAGCTACGCCAAGGGCGGGCGGCGGGGTGAGATCGGATGAAGATGGGGAATGTTCAACATTCGGATGATTGATCCAGCGAAAGAAGTGCAACAGCAGGCGGAACCAGTTTCAGCACGACCACAGCAAGCGGCTCGATGGAGAATATGAGACACTTCGAAGGGATGAAGGCGAAGGAGTTCTGAAGACTCTCAACTCCCCAAACCTCATCCTGTTTTTTCGCGACGGACCACCTATCCCCGGCCCGTTGACCTCCAATCATCCCCTTCCCCAAATTGCGGGGCTTCACCTAGCCCTGGTCGCTTGTTTTAATGTTTCGGAACCGGATATTGCTGCGACCCTTCACTTGCTAGCCCGAGCCCCTTGCCCTTACCCAGCGCCAAGCGGATACTTTCGCAGCTGATACTTTCATGCGTGGGAACATCGTTTCTTGCCGGCTGCCCAGCTAGTATTTTCCTTTTACCTCGTGTTGTCCGTAGCACTCGAAGCCCCTGGAGACTTGCCAAGCTCTACCGTCTGTTCCTGGCGCTGTGAGCTTTTCGTTTCCATCAAAGTTCTGCGCCTACACTGAGCAGGTCGTACTCCACAATGAGGCCGGCAAGGTAGCATTCCTGGCAAAATCAGCTTTGATTCCTCAGTGGCAGCTTGACAATGAAATGGTCAAAGTCAGGCCATGCGCAAATCAATCAAGTTGACCTTGAGCGGCAGATAATGATCAAAGCCCCTCACATTGCCTGCGATCCCATCTGATTCTCAATCAAACCATCTAGTTTCAGTGTGAGACACGTTCAACATTTCTTGTTCCGTGAAGAAGACATAGGAAATTTAATGGTGCTTTGGGCATTGCGAGAACAAAGTGTGTTCCCCCCATCTCAGATTCACTATATAGGCTACATGGAAATTTGAATCACGTTTCGGCGCTGTTGCCTCACGCCCCCATCTGCAACCTGCTCTCCACTCCTTGCCAACCTTTGCGCCGCATGCGCGAGCCAGCCACACCTGGGCTGGCAAACAGCCACACTGCGCCCCGAAAGACGAATTACTTTGGTCTAGCTTGAACAAAGCTTGAGATGGGGGTGAACGAAAGCTAGCAACTGTTCTAAGAATAGATTCCATAGGTACCTGCGCACCATGAGAGGCGCCGTAAAGATTCTCAGGAGGCCACTAGAGTGCCCTTTTCCAGTTACGCTACTTGTGCTACTTATAAGTGCACTTATAAGTTAGTTACACTACTTATCCGCCGACAACAGACGGCGTGTTGGACACAAAAAATGCTCCTTACCTCTTTACCTGTTACCCCTCCCCTAACCCCTCCCCAGGGGCACCATTTCAGACTATTGCGGGGGGGGGGGGGGGTGGGTCCACGTACCGATTCGAAGACGCTTCACTAAATCTGTTCATTGTGCGGGCGTTCGATTCCCCCCGGGTGCGCTTTCGCATCCTTAGCAGCTCCAGCGGCACATCGCCAGCATCACCTGCATCATCCGCATCAGCGCCTGCCAAGGATGCGGATGATGCAAGTGATGCTGGGGATGTTGCCCATGCTGGTGAAGGAAATGAAGGGGGGAAAGGGGGAAAGGATCTCAACAGCGAAAGCGGGGGAAAGCTCAGGGAGGAAAGGGAGGGAGGCAAAGGGAGACAAGGAAAAAGACTTAGGTAGGAAAGGGGAGGAAAGATCTTTGGGAGGAAAAGGGAGAAGAACTGAGGGTGGGAAAAGGCCTTAGAAGGAAAGGGGGGGAAATAAATGATCTCAACAAGGAATTGAGGGGGGGGGAAAGATCTTAGGGAGGAAAGGCAGAAGATCTGAACAAAAAGGCCTTAGGGGGGAAAGGGGAGAAATGATCTCAACAGGGAAAGGGGTGGAAAAGATCTTAGGGAGGAAAAAGAGAAGATCTGGGGAAAAAAGGCCAACAGGGAAAGGGGGGAAAAGATCTTAGGAGGGAAAAGGGCTCAACAGGGAAAGGGTGGGAAAGAATCTTAAGGAGGGAAGTTGGGGGAAGATGTTAGGGAGGAAAGGGAGACGATCTGGAAGAAAAGGACTTAGGGGGGAAAGCCTAACAGGGAAAGGGGGGAAAAGATCTTCGGAAGGAAAAGGGAGAAGCTCTCAGGGGGCGGGAAGGCCTTAGGGGGGAAAGGGCGAAAGGGATCTCAGCAGGGAAAGGGGGGGGAAAGATCTTAGGGAGGAAAGGGAGAAGATCTGGGGACAAAGGCCTTAGAGGGGAAAGGGGAGAAATGATCTCAACAGGAAAGGGGTGGAAAGGATCTTAGGGAGGAAAGGGAGAAGATCTGGGGGAAAAAAGGCCAACAGGGACAGGGGGGAAAGATCTAAGGAAGGAGAAGCTCTCAGGGGGGAAAGGCCTCAAAAAAAAGGGTGGGAAGGATCTCAACAGGGAAAGGGGGAAACAATCTTAGGAAGGAAAGGGGGGGAGGATCTTAGGGAGGAAAGGGAGAAGGTCTGGGAGAAAATGACTTAGGGGGGAAAGCCCAACAGGGAAAGGGGGGAAAAGATCTTAAGAAGGAAAAGGGAGAAGCTCTCAGGGGGGAAAGGCCTTAGGCGGGAAAGGGTGGGAAGGATCTCAACAGGGACAGGGGGGAAACAATCTTAGGAAGGAACAGGGAAAAGATCTGGAAAGGCCTGAAAGGGAAGAATGGAAAGGATCTCAACGGGGGAGGAGGCAAAGGATCTTAAAAAGGAGGAGTAGGGAGAAGATCTCAGCGGGGGGAAAGGCCTTAGGAAGGAAAGGAGGGAAAGGATCTCAACAGGGAAAGGGGGGGAAAGATCTCAGTGAGGAAAGGGAGAAGGTCCCAGGCAGGGAAAAGGCCTTAGGGGGGAAAGGGGGAAAGGATCTCAATAGGGAAAGGGGGCAAAGGATCTTAGGGAGGAAAAGGGAGAAGATCTCGGAGGAAAAGATCTTGGGGAGGACAAGGGAGAAGCTCTCAGGGGGGGGAAGGCCTTAGGGGGGAAAGGGGGGAAAGGATCTCAACAGGGAAAGGGGGCAAAGGATCTTAGGGAGGAAAGGGAGAAGATCTTGGATGGGAAAACGCTTTAGGGGGGAAAGGGCGGGAAAGGATCTCAACAAGGAAAAGGGGGAAAGGATCTTAGGAAGGAAAAGGGGGAAGATCGCAGGTGGAAAAAAGGCCTTAGGCGGGAAAGGAGGGAAAGGATCTCAACAGGGAGAGGGGGGAAAACATCGTAGGGAGGAAAAAGGAAAAACTTAGAGGGAGAAAGGGCCTTCGGGGGGAAAGGGGGAATGGATCTCAACAGGGAAAAATGGCAAAAGATCTTAGGGAGAAAAAAGGGAGAAGATCTCAGGGGGGGAAAGGCCTTAGGGGGGAAAGGGGGGAAAGGATCTGAGCAGGGAAAGGGGGGGAAAGATCTTAGGGAGGAAAGGGAGAGCAAAGGCCTTAGGGGGGAATGGGGAGAAATGATCTCAACAGGGAAAGGGGTGGAAAAGATCTTAGGGAGGAAAGGGAGAAGATCTAAGGAAGGAGAAGCTTTCAGAAAAAAAAAAAAAGGCCTCAGCAGGACAATCTTAGGAAGGAAAGGGGGGAAGATCTTAGGGAGGAAAGGGAGACGATCTGGGAGAAAAGGACTTAGGGGGGAAAGCCTAACAGGGAAAGGGGGGAAAAGATCTTCGGAAGGAAAAGGGAGAAGCTCTCAGGGGGCGGGAAGGCCTTAGGGGGGAAAGGGCGAAAGGGATCTCAGCAGGGGGAAAGATCTGAGGGAGGAAAGGGAGAAGATCTGGGGACAAAGGCCTTAGAGGGGAAAGGGGAGAAATGATCTCAACAGGGAAGGGGTGGAAAGGATCTTAGGGAGGAAAGGGAGAAGATCTGGGGGAAAAAAGGCTAACAGGGACAGGGGGGAAAGATTTAAGGAAGGAAAAGGGAGAAGCTCTCAGGGGGGAAAGGCCTTAGGCGGGGAAGGGTGGGAAGGATCTCAACAGGGAAAGGGGGGAAACAATCTTAGGAAGGATTAAAGGACCGGATAACCCCACATGCTATGTTTTTCCCAAGGATGTGAGTTCAAATGTCCACACACATGTACCGTGCGCCCCTTGTATGGATGCGATTACAGAGCACCCAGATGCACAGAATGCAGCGCCTGCCAACCATCGATGCCAAGATCAAACACACGCCCCCCGCGCGCGACAACATCCTGTCCCTCTAGACAGCTGCCGAATGCGACCCCTGCCACACAAACACACACCCAGATGCACAGAATGCTGCGCCTGCCACGACTTCGGCAACGGCATCGCTAAAGTGCTGCGCCTGCCACGATTTCGCACGCCCCCCGCCGCGCGCGCGCCAACATCCTGTCCCTCTAGACAGCTGCCGAATGCTACCCCTGCCACTCAAACACACACCCAGATGCACAGAATGCAGCGCCTGCCACGACTTCGGCAACGGCATCGCCAAAGTGCTGCGCCTGCCACGATTTCGCACGCCCCCCGCCGCGCGCGCGACAACATCCTGTCCCTCTAGACAGCTGCCGAATGCTACCCCTGCCACACAAACACACACCCAGATGCACAGAATGCTGCGCCTGCCACGACTTCGGCAACGGCATCGCCAAAGTGCTGCGCCTGCCACGATTTCGCACGCCCCCCGCCGCGCGCGCGCCAACATCCTGTCCCTCTAGACAGCTGCCGAATGCTACCCCTGCCACACAAACACACACCCAGATGCACAGAATGCTGCGCCTGCCACGACTTCGGCAACGGCATCGCCAAAGTGCTGCGCCTGCCACGATTTCGCACGCCCCCCGCCGCGCGCGCGACAACATCCTGTCCCTCTAGACAGCTGCCGAATGCGACCCCTGCCACACAAACACACACCCAGATGCACAGAATGCTGCGCCTGCCACGACTTCGGCAACGGCATCGCCAAACTTCGGCAACGGCATCGCCAAAGTGCTGCGCCTGCCACGATTTCGCACGCCCCCCGCCGCGCGCGCGACAACATCCTGTCCCTCTAGACAGCTGCCGAATGCGACCCCTGCCACACAAACACACACCCAGATGCACAGAATGCTGCGCCTGCCACGACTTCGGCAACGGCATCGCCAAAGTGCTGCGCCTGCCACTCGCAACGGCATAAAGTGCTGCGCCTGCCACGATTTCGCACACCCCCCGCCGCGCGCGCGACAACATCCTGTCCCTCTAGACAGCTGCCGAATGCGACCCCTGCCACACAAACACACACCCAGATGCACAGAATGCTGCGCCTGCCACGACTTCGGCAACGGCATCGCCAAAGTGCTGCGCCTGCCACGATTTCGCAACGGCATCGCCAAAGTGCTGCGCCTGCCACGATTTCGCACACCCCCCGCCGCGCGCGCGACAACATCCTGTCCCTCTAGACAGCTGCCGAATGCGACCCCTGCCACACAAACACACACCCAGATGCACAGAACCCAGATGCACAGAATGCTGCGCCTGCCACGACTTCGGCAACGGCATCGCCAAAGTGCTGCGCCTGCCACGATTTCGCAACGGCATCGCCAAAGTGCTGCGCCTGCCACGATTTCGCACGCCCCCCGCCGCGCGCGCGACAACATCCTGTCCCTCTAGACAGCTGCCGAATGCGACCCCTGCCACACAAACACACACCCAGATGCACAGAATGCTGCGCCTGCCACGACTTCGGCAACGGCATCGCCAAAGTGCTGCGCCTGCCACGATTTCGCAACGGCATCGCCAAAGTGCTGCGCCTGCCACGATTTCGCACGCCCCCCGCCGCGCGCGCGACAACATCCTGTCCCTCTAGACAGCTGCCGAATGCGACCCCTGCCACACAAACACACACCCAGATGCACAGAATGCTGCGCCTGCCACGACTTCGGCAACGGCATCGCCAAAGTGCTGCGCCTGCCACGATTTCGCAACGGCATCGCCAAAGTGCTGCGCCTGCCACGATTTCGCCCCCCGCCGCGCGCGCGACAACATCCTGTCCCTCTAGACAGCTGCCGTGAGTCAGCGAGTGTGAGTGAGTGAGTGAGC